ATCCACGGAACTTTTCCGTCAGCCCTCAGACCTGGCATCTCCCAGCTGTAGTGAAGGCTGAGGATGGTGCCCATTGGCTGATGAGCTGCACACGGTCCTGCATTGCCTTCATAGTGCAGGAGAGTCCATGCTCTCCATGCATCTGGAGGGAGGAAGTCATGTTGAGAATTCTTCTAAGAACTCAACATTATATAAATTTAGGACGTTGTCAGAAAAACAAAAAAGGGTAAAAATTTTTAGCCATTCACAATCATGAGCCATAAAATTGCATTTGAAAGAAAACTTTCAGCTAGGGACTGTCTTATGCTTATGCTCATTTATCTACTAGAAAGCTATTCCTTTAAGAATTAAATGTGGACATTCCTTGCTTTCAGGAAACAAAATCTCATCTCTCCAATTTTTTAATATGAGAAACTAAAAAAAACTTTCATAGCAATGTTGGTGACTATACAAATAGACAACAGATTACTTTCTTATATTGTAAACCAATTGCCTACCTGTGGGTGACTGATACAGAATGAAAAAGTCAGAGCCCTTTCATTACTGATGGCTCATTTTCAAAAAACAAACTATGTTAGTGACCATAAAAAACTATCTCATCAAAGCATTCCAGATTACAGTACATCTTCTTTATTATTTGCATGGGTTTTTGTCTTTTTATTTTGAAAGTTTTCTACCTTTTGTACCACTTAGGTTTTTACTACTATAATGAATCACCTGAGACAGGCTAACTTGTAAAGAGGTTCATCACTCACAGATTTGGAAGTTCAAGGTCTTGGGGTCATTATCAGCTTAGTTCTGGTGAGGGCCTGCCTCAGCTTCATCACATCATGGCATATCACACTGGCAGGAAGCAGAGCTACCAGGGGGTTAGGCTCAGATTGCTATGACAGTTCTTTCACAAGAACCAACCGGGCTCCCATGAGAAATACCTTAATCCCTTTCCAGGACATGCCCACAGTTGACCTGCCACTGGCCCCATTCCCAAAGGTCCACATTGCCTCATCATCCCCACACAGGGGACCAGGCTTCCCCCACCCAGAGCCTTGGGAGACAAACTACATCCACAGCATAGCATGGCTTTCAAAGTTAGTAGAAGAGTTTAATGAATCCCCATGTGTTATCACGCTGGCTCAGTAGTTATCAAGTCACCCCCTGTCTGATCTCTACCTCTGCTTGGTATCCTATCAGGGACCAACAGACCCATAATGAAGAATTATGTGGCCCCCAATACTGAGAATGATGTGGTTGGAAAGTCTTATATAGGTATTTAATTTCTCTTGGCAATATTTTGATTGTTCAGTGTAGGGATTCTTTACATCTTTGTTATTCTTAGATAAGTAATACTTTGGTACTGTTTTAAATGGGAAGTTTAAAACCTCATTTTCTTATTGTTGTGTATGTGTCTCTGTGTGTGTGTGTTCTTGTATGTTTTTTGTTGTTGTTGTTGTTTTTTTTTTTTTTTTTTTTTTGTTTGTTTTTTTGGTACCGGAGATCGAACTCTCAACTTCACACTGGCCAGGCAGACATTTATGCTTCTGTGCTAAATCCCCAGCCCTTGTATATGTTTCTTAATGGCTTCTTTATGTGCTTCTGTTACTTGAGGTATCTTACTGTGAAGGTTCCCCTCCAGTCTCTTTTTTCCTCTAGCAGTTTTTCATTGTTGAAACTAGGTCTTTGTCCCACAGAATTTCCAGCAACTTGAATCTTTCTCATTCCTTCGCCATGGCAGTGTAAAATCTCTCTTCCTGTCCCATCCTGATGGCTGTTGCCTAGCTGCATGAATTTCTTAGGTGCTACACAGTGGTAGTAATCCAGTTCTGTCACTTGTTTGTCACTCATTAGCCAGACTTTTTCTGTAAAGAGAAACTCACTTCTTCCCTAAACCAGCTGGTTCCTCTTCATTCAGTGATGGTGAATCTTTTAGAGCTTTCAGTGCTATAAACAGTCCACTGTAGCACATGTGCCTCAGGTTTGTCACCACTGTTCTAAGTTCATAAAGAAAAGGCAGGACAAATCCTTATTCTTTTTTTATTAAGGTCTGGTTTCAAAATTAGTTGTCTTGGATCCATCATGGGCAACTTGTGAGATTCTCTTTTCTTAAAACTATCCTGGATATATGGTTTAAACTCACCCGATAGTTCAATTTATTGCTGTTTTTTGCTCAAGGGTGATCATCTTGTTCCATCTTTTGCTGATGGGAACTCTTTGAGACCTGTTGGCGGTGGTATTTTAAACTCTTATCTTCAGCTGTAAGAAGACACTGCAGGCTGTTGAACATTGCTTGTTTCTGACCTGGACTCAGCCAACTGTTGAAGGAGCTACCATGGGGAGTGTGAGAGGATGTAGACATACACAGTGCTCCTGCAGCCCATCCTTTCCAGATGTTTTCCAGTTGACAGAACTAGAAAATATGTAGTTTTAAAGATTAAAAACATGCGATGGGATGCAATTTAGTTTCATCCCTTTTTCTATCAATGGGATCTTGCATCTCAACATACTTAGTGCTTTATCACAAACTACACATCCAGCACCCTTCAAATAACTGCTGCCCCTTGCCCAATGAAAGTATGGTTACTGACAACGCTAAGATGGGAGGCGGATCTATTGGGGTCTGTTTTTAAGGGTATTTCAGAAAAGGGACGGTGTTTTTAGCTTGCTTTATTTAAAGTCACCTATAATGTGCATATATTATCAAGTAGATTTACTTTCAGGTACATTTAATTCATTTTATATTTGACTTTTAGGGATTGCATATTAAAATCTCTTTGGCATTATTATGTGTACTGTTTACATAGTTTCAAAGTCAGTCCTGCAAACAGGATGCATGCCAAGAAGCTCCTTTTATATCCTTGTCTCTTTTTTTTCTATTCCCTCCATCACCTGACAGGTGTCTGTCTAAAGTAGACGTCATGGCTTCTCCCTGCAGTGTGGGCTCCTAATATGGGTGATCCTCCTGTAGGCACCTCTGCCTTTCCTGTCCTGGCACTGGTTTTTCATTTACCATCCTCATACTTTGGGGGGATATTTTCAGATCTCCAAAACAAATATGTTTGGTGTAGACACCTGGGTGGGCCAGAATTAATTAAAGGTGCAGTAAGTTTACAGGGAATGGCTGGAAGTGTGTGAAGCTTAAAATCCAAGGCAAGCAAACCAGCGCACCTGGGTAGCCTGAGGCAGCACGGGGACACCTGCTCTCGAAGCAGCATCTGTTGGTGTGTGATGCTCCCAGAGCCGAGTGGGTTGCAGACAGGGCCTCCAGGAGGATGTCTTTTGGCTTGGTTTGTACCTTTCTTTCCCACTTGAATGATAAGATAGCATGTGAGCAAATAAGGGCAGGGAAGGCACCATGAATAATTGATGGCCACTGCACTTAGAAACCTGGTTTCAGTCATGAACAAGAAGTGAAAGTGGCAACATAAGGCCCAGTTTCAGCCTTTTTTTCCTTTCTCGGGCAGCAGAGTGGTTAACATTTGAGCAAGGAAAGGGGAATCCCCAGTGACCAGCTGTGGATTGAAAGGCACCCGTTCTTGGAAGGCAGGGACCTTCTGTCACCAATTCCTGTCTGCTGATGGCCTGTTCACGGGAGGCACGTGTGATACAACGGATAGCGCTTAGGAGGGAGCGGCTATCCTGTTCTGTCTGGGTGCTGCTGTGGAGGGAGAAAAGGTCACGTCTCTTCTAAGGCAGAGTGAGCAATGACAGATTTAACAGCAGTGCGTTCTCTGATCTAGGTTTGCAGATAAAGAGTGCAAGCTGGAGATTCTTCGACAGCCACTTGACCTCCCGATTTATTTTTTTCCCTTGTTGGTTAAAGTATACTATTAGGGCTAAGCAAATGTTATTAGCCACCAAATTTCTATAGGTACCAAATAGGTTTTTAAAAATGAAAACAGAAGCTTAGCATGCCAAATAAAGTGAGTGCTGGATCCCTCTAACCCCCGTTTACCTCACTCAGAGAAAGAAGTGAATGTGTATAGACTGTGCCTCAGTGTCACCACCTCTTATCCCAAGAATGTATGTGGTGCTGCCTGCAAAACATGTATCCAGGTTACTCATCACTGTGTGTATGTGCACGTGTAAGTGTTCCTTTTCTCTCTCTCAGACATACATGTACGCACACATTTTCATTTTGAATGAATGCACACATTTCCAATCTGAATTCCTAGTAAAGGACAGGGTAAATAAATTACTACTTGCCTTGTATTTTATAGTGACCGTATCTTATTTGCATAATAAAAATCAGTTAAAGAATTTCCATTCAGGAAGACAGTTACAACTTTTCCGTTTAGTGCAATTTTGAATTTGGAGGAGGACTTTATGTTCATATATGCTTTAGAGTAAACTGACTTTGGTTTAGTTTCATCTTCAGCTTACTATGAAATTAGATAATAACTCCTATCACAGTGAGGGAATGGCAGGCTCACAGGGAGGCTCCCACACGCACACATCTTCAACATACGAGGATTTCTTTTTCATTTTCTGGTATTTTCCTACATGGCTGTAACATGTCTGATCATGTCTTCCCTTCATTACCCATCAACCCCTTCTTCTTGTCTAGCAATTTAGAAAGACATTCTTAAGTGTTCTTAGGTGGCGAGGTCTGGCTTAGTAGTGAAATCCTTTGATCCACTCCAGAAACGATACTGATTTTAGTGTGAAAAGTTTTGAACGTTTTACATTTTAAAAATGCATAAAACTATCTTTCTTAGGCCATGTTTTTTGCAATGTCAGATTGTCTCTGCCTCATTTATACTTATTACTTAAAAGCCACAGTTGAAAAGTTTACTAACCCCATCACTTTAATTGACTTTGTCATCTGCCTTGTTTTGAAGATCTGTCCTGACATATAGAGCTATAAACCATCCTGCCACTCTAACATTTTTTTAGGGTAATTTAATCTGCTTGATGACCTTAACTGCTATCCAAGTAATAGGATTATATAAGATTTTAAGATGCAAATTCACAATAAAACAAATCTTGTGTTGTTTCCTTAACAGAAACCACAGCCCATTAATGAGCTTCGGAGCCAGCTTCGTCAGTTTTTTGGTAAGTTAGTATCAGAAGACATGATGGTGTGAAAGAAATAAATGTAAACCAATGTCTGCTGTTGGCTACTAGCTGAATCTTTCACAGTGTAAAACTGAGATAAAATTTTGCTTGTGAACCAGTGCTAGGAGATAACTCCTCTTGCCTAATCTTAAAAGTAGAATGCTTATATTTTATTTCTATAGTATTATATGTTTTCCAACCAAAATCTTCTATAGAATAAAAGTGTAATTGAAAGACCTCTGAAGATTAAAACTTTTGGAGCAGGGCAAAAGTCTGACCTTTGCTAGTAAAGGTCTCCTGTGAAACTATTTCATAGCTATTTCATAGTTCAAGAAGCAGAGTGAAAGTATGTTGACTAGTGTCACATTTCCACATGCTAACATGTGAGAATCGAGGGGAAAGGTTTTAGTTAGGTTTTAATGGAAACTGGGTAATGAAAAAAAATCGGATATTCTCATTTTTCAGAAGAATATATTAAATAGCTTACTTTCAAACAAAATTCCTTAAAAGCCATAGACTATAAAACAGCAGGAGGGAAAAGTACAGAGATGTAAAAGGAGAAAGCATTTGGATTAGAGATTAAGAAAACTAGGGACACATGGGTATATGTTACAGCATGTGACAGTGCCCACTGCAGGTGCCAGGTCAGACTCAGACAGACAGGTTTTTATTCAAGCTGTCTCTTTCCTCTTCCTACCATATAAGACAACAAACATTCCTTGGTCAACTTCTTTGCAGGAATGTGTAGTTCACACCTCAAGGAAAACATTTCCTTAGGTGGGAATTGTAACATTAGGACCCTTGTGACTACAGAGGTTGCCAGGGAGTTGAACTGAAGGATCTCAGCTGAGCTGGCTGGGGAGCAGGCTGGGATTTCAGTGGCTTGATAGCATGGTTGGAAAGGAGAGTGTGGCTTGGTTTGATAGGTGTGGTAGGTTTAAGGCACACCGAAGGCACCTAGAATGCCAAGGCAGGGCTAGTGGAACCTGACCAGAAATGAAGAACTAGAGACAGTGAGTTCACTAGTGCCTTCCAAGAACCTGGTCTCTGGTTCAGTTCAGAAACCTCAGTTCTGGGTACTAGTCATGGTGTCTAGCAGACATTCAGAGGATTGCCTCTACCCAGCCAAATGTGGCCTTGCAAGATGCACCAGGATCAGGTGCCTGGAAACAAGCGGTCCATAGAATTTCCAACTGCACCCACAGTAAACCCATGGGGATTGCTGTCCCTGGAAAGACTGAAGATTTTCAGACTACTTACTAGCTGTGTATCATTAGCATTTCTGTGTAGTGCAAGATTAGCTGGGATCCATCTGTGGATAGAGTGAGACACTGTTGCAAAAACTGAGTGGAGCAGACTAATCAGAACTTGCACAAAATTTTTGTTAGTTGGAATAACACCAAAAAGGTGGAAGAATGATAATTGCAAGGTCATTTGCTAGTGTACTTTTTTCATGTTGGTGTAATGGGGCATATTCTTATTCATATTGAGGTTATAATTTCTTTAAATGAGTAAAGTATGCTATATTTTGCTTGTTTTGCAAGAAATTGATTTCTCCCCCTAGTTTGGGGCTTCATTATAAGTTGAGTTAATGTTTTGGTTACTGATTCATTCATCCTTTCCTTCTTGAAAGAATGCCATGATGACATTTGAGGAAGAAAAAATGCAATTGGCATGTGATGACTTAAAAACTACGGAAAAGCTATGTGAAAGTGAAGAGGCTGGAGTAATTGAAACGATTAAGAATAAAATTAAGAAGAATGTAAGTAGCATAGCTTTTGAGTGTGGGATCTGTGCCACTTATTTAGAACAGCATTTATTTACTTGTGTTTTTGCATTTAGAATATGACTGAAAACAGTATTTTTCATTACTTTGATTGTGTAAAACGTTTTTCTTAACACAGAACTCTTGACGTTAGTCGTCAAGAGTTCTCCAGTAGGTGATCTTTGGTGTTTTACAGTGATCCTCTTCCACAATGGGCCCTGGGCCAGCGCTCCTAAAGTACAGGTTTCTGTGTGTAATTAAACATGATATAACAGTAGCCAATCAACAGTGAAACAGTTGCATTTTGGCAACTGCCAGAATTCAGCCATTCCGCTACTTTCCCCTAGCTCTCACCAGCTTTTGGTTATAAATAAAATCACATCATAATACATTTTCCTGGTTTTGCCTTCACCTTTCAGCTCAAAAGTTCCAGGCCATGGAGAGGCATCTTCCTACTGAGATGTTTCTCGTGCATGTCACATCTGAGCCCAGCGAGCTAATCTGTTGCACAGTACCATCAGGCCACCTTTTCTTACCTTACGATTCTTCATGTCACTCTCCTACCATGAGAGAGTCATAGGAATGGCTTCACTTCTGTCCTTGCTTATTGTGTCCACTATGGGGAAGCCACTGAGGAGCCAAGAATGCCACAGCCTGATCCTGCTGATGGGCCAGAGTTGCCTTTGCTCCCTCCTCCTCCAAACCCCATGAGCAGTCAGTGAGCATCCGCTTTTCTCTGAAGTCTCTTTCTTCAGTACCTCTTGAGTGCATCAGCACCTGTCCATCATCTCCAAGTCGGACACCTCCTTAAGTCAGCCACCATCCCCTCTGCCTAAGACACCTCCTTAAGTCAGCCACCATCCCCTCTGCCTAAGATAGACTGGCATTTCTGCCTGTGGTCTCCCTGGTCCAGTTTATTCTTTGTAATAGAGATGTTGCTTGTGTGTTTTGCAGGGTGTGCCTGGCTGTGATCACTGTAAAGAAGTCCAAAATCCCAAGTTTGGCTGCATATGTTTTGCCTCTGTCTAGAATACTTCTTACCTTCTTTACCTGATTCCTACTCAATTTTTAATTCTTCCTAGATATCATTTTGAACCCAGAACTCTTTCCTGAGGCTGCTAGTATGTCTTCTACAGTTCCCGTAGTTTTCTGTATTTTGCCCTGCAGAATACTCACTGTTACACAGTAATAAGTGAGGTCTGTAGTTCATTAACTGGAAGCTTCTTTATGTATCTGTTCTCAGGATCTACTATTAGGCCCAGCACGTTTCAACATTTGTAATCATTCTTGTGATTTATATAATGTGCAAGACTGTGCAGATCTCATCAGCCCTCTTGATAGCCCTCCCTGCATTGTGGATATTGTTAAAATAAGGGACAGAAGCAATGATAGATTGACATTTTCTGAGTAAACAGAGTAACGGGAGTGCAGGGCTAGACACGGAACACAGTGACTATAATTGATTATGCTGAAAGTTACAAACTGTGTGTGGGGAGGTGTATCACTGCCCTGTGTATTACAGTATATATTTGGCATATTTGCATACATCATATCATTTCTTATGTCATTAAAAGTTTATGAAAATAGCTTAGTTTACTCAAATTCACTTTGTGTTGAGAACACAGTGTTCTATGCCACAGTGATTTTTACTCGAAAAATGTTCTTTATGACAAAGACCAACCTTTTTAAAGTGATTTGACCTTTTGCTTTTTTTTATCGTTTGTGTTTCAAGTGAAAATTGTGATTTATTCAAAGCTTAATTTTTAATTTCAGTATGTTTTTGCCATTAATGGAAATGTAATCATCAGTTTCCAGCCTAACCTTTCAGTTGCAGGCATTAAAAGTCTACAGCCTAATAAGACCTCTATCTAAAGACTGATGGCTATAAAGTGACTTCTCAGGTTATTTACTCTGGCAAATGTTTTGTACCTTTTTTTTTTTTTTAATTTTATTTAAAAGGAAAAAGAGAAAAAACAAAACAAAACAAAGCGGTGTAAGGGTACAAGTAATGCAGAACTACAAAAAAAAAAAAAACAGTGTTTTGGACCTTTTGTGATTTTTTTAAATATAATTAAGAATGTACATTATCTAAAAATTGTGAACCCCTGAAGTTTTGTGGTTTTTTTCCCCTTATTTCCCATGATTCAGCTTTTGTCATTTAGAATGTTATTTTTGGCATTGTTTTTTGGCATTATATTACCAGCACAGCTAGACCTAACGGGTCTATGGAACTAGCAACCTTTTAGCATAAATTTGGGCCTGGCTTTGAGTGACTGGCAGGCCTGTTTCCTAATTCCTGTGTGAATTTATTTTGTATCATAAAGTAGAAGTTGCTGAGAGACACTGGTCTGCTTGGGTGTGATTTTTATCGGTATTTACTCTGTTTCCACCAAACAGGTTGATGTCCGCAAATCCGCTCCCTCCATGGTTGATCGGCTTCAAAGGCAAATAATCATAGCTGACTGTCAAGTCTACCTGGCTGTCCTTTCGTTTGTGAAACAAGAGTTGTCAGGTACGCTGAAGCTCTAGTTTAACGGCATTCACTGATGCACTTTTTAAACCACCTCAGATTTCAGTCTTTGTAAATACATGATGTGTCTTTGGGGGCACAGTACTGATTTATGACTTAGGAAATTGAAACCACTAGTGCTTAATGTGTGCGTAGCAAAGTAGTTTTAGTCTCAGAGTCTGTTTCATCCCGTACTCCTCAGAATAATCTGTGTCACTTAGAGACGTCACTGCTACCTTTTGAATGTATGTAGATACATCATCCTTTTTCTTTGTGGAAACCAAGTTGTAATAATCTTTAGTATAAAAATGTAACTGACTTAAAATTAAGTTATTGAGAAGCTTGTCATTAGAGGATTGAGTGCCTTCAGTGACCTCAGCTATATTAGATCATTAAAGATCATTAAAGATTTCCTAATATATTGAAACACTTGATATTGTAACAATCTTCAACAAAGGACATAAACTAATTTCTTAATTAGTTTGTACAAGATGAATGTTTTCCAGGCTTTTGGACCTCTAATTTCTTAATGAAAGCGACTCAGTGGCATCCCTAAAAGCTTGCTGTGGACTGTGCCTAAAGTTGTTATGTATCTCTTGGCTCCTGCAGACTGACCACTTGGGTAGAAGAGGATTTACTTGGAAAAAAAATGAAAATACACACACACAAAATCAATTAAAATTCAATGAGAAAAGCCTTTCCTCCCACAACTTAATGAGGAAGAATATAGTTCTGCTGAATTATTACATTTTTCTTGCTTATAACCAGAAGCTAGTTTTTCCCACTTTTTTCCTCTCTTGCTCTCTTTTTCTCTCTCACATTAGAAGAAGCTTGCTTTCTGTTTACTTCATAAAACAGTGGAATTTTATCTTTTGTTTTGACCTCTTTTGGTCTTCCTGGAATTTAGCCCTCTTTTAAAATATGTCCTATGATGTACTTTTACCATTTGCTTTGGTTCTTTTTTATTTTTTCCTTTAATCTGCTTCTCATCAGTTTCCCAGTACCTTTAAGATCAGGGGCTCACAGTGCATCTGAATTTCCTCTGCTGTAATCATGCAAAGCGCCCAGTCAGGCAAAATGTCTGGAGTTCCATGCTGACTTGGTTATAGAAGAACAGCAGAGCTTAGCTGGTACTCTCTGCTCAAGACAGGTGCTTGGCTCTTCTGTGGTCTTCTACATACTTTTCCTGATGCTTAAGGACCCTTGTTGGGAGCTAATGGAGTCATTATGGAAATGTTTGTTAAGAGAGGATAGTAGGGCTAGGGACATAGCCCAACAGCACAGCGCCTGCTGGCAAGCGCGAGGTCCTGGATTTGATTCCTGGTACCAAAAAAAAAAAAAAAAAAAAAAAGCTAAAAAAAGGAGGAGACTAGCTAGACATAGTGGCATGTACCTGTAGTTCCAGGTACTCTGGAGGCTGAAGCAGCAGAGTCATTATGGGTCTAGGAATTCTAGGCCAGCCTGGGCAACATAGTGAGACAGCTTATCTTATAAAATTTAAAAAAATTTATCAGAAAGATAATGCAAATGTAATAAAATGTTCAACTGTGACTGTATTATAGAAGTTTAAAAATGAGTGTATCTGTCCATCCTATGGTCATTTACTAATCCATTCAACAGTTACAGAGCTTAGACTAGTCACTGTGGTGAGTGAATAGGCCCCTGGTTCTGGCTCCTTGCAGCTTAAAATCATCAGAACATACTATTCATTTAAAAAATTACTCAGGTTGTAAAATTACTATTATTATGAAAACGTCTGAAAAAATAAAAAATAGAAAGTAGAAAAGAAAGCAAGTCGTCATTTCTCATTTCTTCACCGAGAAGGAATTCTTAATCTGTTCTGTGTTTCTCTGTGTATTTACACTATTGAATCTATAGTATTTTGTATCCTACCTTACTCTCTTAGATCATATCTTGGATATTTTCCTGTGATTCAGTTTTGGAATATAATTTTTAATAACATATTAGCTTATCTTATAGATAGGTCATAATTTATTTGCTCAATTCCTCCTGGCTGTGTTTTCTGTTTATTAGTGAGGTTAAACTCATTTCTAATCAATTAATTAATTTTTAGTGCTCAAGATCAAGCAAAGGAGGTGCTTCTCTTCTGAACTTCTTCCCAATTTTTATTTTTTATTTGATCCATAAACCATATTTCTTTCACAGATTGTCTTTATCCATTCTTCTGATAGTTGGATAATAATCAGTGATTTAATCCTGTTTATCAGAGCCCTTTAACAGTACTCTTGTTTTTTCCTGAACCCTATTATTTGTTGAATGTGCTATTGATACCACAGTGAAATTTCCACAGTCATGAAAGCCTCACATCTTAGTTAATCCTTCTAGTGGTAGTTTATTTTATGAATAGTTCAATATTTATTTTAAACATCAACCAAGAACGTGCTTCATTTACCTTTCTTATTTCCAATGAGTTATTCATTTTTAAGTTATTTACTGTATTATTGAAGTCCATTTCTTAAATAACATTTTTGTTGGATAATTTCCCAGAAGACACAGAAGCCTTCTTTGAAACATTTGTTCTAGATGTTCCTCCTCTCCTCTGAGAGAGTGACACAGAGGCCCACTTGGGCAGGCACACACAGACCAGAGTTCTGGAAGGAATGAGTCAGAGTGAGTTTTTGCCGGGAAGAGTGTAGTCCTTGAAAAGATTAGCATTTCAAAAAATATCAAGTACTTTGCATCAGGACCATAGGAACAGTGGCTTGAAGGTGTCTCAGGAATCAGCAAGACCCCACTCTCAGGCTATGGAAAGGCCACCTAGGGAACTGGTTCTCTGAGATTCATTTCCCTTTGCTCAACCACTGAGGCCCTCAGGTGCTGCTACAGCCATGGTGCAAGAGGGCCTGGCTCCTGCTCCTACTGACAGGAGACCATGGTATCATCCCCCTGATTCTTACTGTAGATCTGGCTAAACACAGCCAGCCAGTACCCATGTCACAGACTGAATGCTGAGCTACTTTGAAATTTCTTTAAATTTAGCCTCACACAGCTACATGTAGGTGTGAACAATTACTTCGCTTGAATAAAATATGAATGGCCTCAAGTCCAGTTTCCAATAGAGTCCTCATTCCCCTCTGAAACCTCATGAACCTGACCTTTACCTACATTCCTGACTGCATTTTTGTCTTTTGAATTCCTGCCAGCACCTTCTATCAATCTGTTTATAGCAACCTGAATTTTTTTTTTTCTATTTCATTTCCAAACTTTTCCAAACTTGTCCCCTGCAAACCACTTCCAAAGATCTCTAAATCACATCATCAGGAAGTCACATCACTGACCATGCTCCTGTTACCAAAAATTTTATTAATTACTTTGCTGCCACAGGAGTGAAATACCTGGCAACCACAAATTAAAGGTTAGGTTTATTTTGTGTCACAGTTTTAGTGGATACAGTCCATCATTAAGGCAGAAGCAGCATGGTGAAAGAGCATGATGGAAGAAAGATACTCACCTCATGTCAGCCAGAAAGGTAGAGAAGGAAGCAGCCAGGAACATGAACACAGCCTTCTAGCTTATGCCCTCAGTGACCTGCTTCTTCCAAACCAGCCCCACTTCTCAGCAGCCCATTCCGCTGTGAACTCATCCATCCCTGATCTACTGATAAGTATAGTGCCTCCATGACCCGGTCACCTTCCAGATATGAGACTTGGGGGGCATTTTAGATCTCTACCATAACCACAGCTTTATGTTTTGTTTTGTTTTGTTTTGTTTTTTGGTCCCAGGAATCAGTGGAGTTGGGGTGATGTGGTTGAGGCGGGATGCTGTGAGAGCACGTGAGGCGTGACAGAACCTGGACCGACCCTGGTCTTCTCACCTCATGACTAATTCCTGGTGGTGTCACTTTTTCCTCCTGGGTTAGTCTGGTGACTGACAGCTCCAGCTGCTCAAGGCCTTTGCCGTTCATCCCTTGCACCCTCTGTCCTGCGGCACTCGCTGTGGGATAGAGAAACAGCCTGTTCTCAACTCTTCCCCACGCCACATTCTTAGCACTGGTGTGGGAGCCATTTTCCTAAGGCACAAGACTGCTATGCTTTAAACATTTAATTGCCCAGTGTTGCCCACAAGGTAAAGCTGTGTCCCTTCCCTGGGTGGCATGTAGGACTCCTGCCCTTCTGCTGCCTCCACTGACTGAGCAAAGTTCTTGCCCTAGCACCTGAGGTCACACTGTGCTCTCTCAGCGTGACACCCACCCACTCCTTTCCCTGTGTCACCTGATCAAGCATGGCCCAGACAGTCTTCTTTTATTGACTTCCATCTGTCTGACCTCTGTGTGAGGCCTGTGTGTATTCAGTTAGAGCGCTTAACACACAGCTATGCACGTTTTTATCTACATGTCTGTAGTACAGAGCATGAACTCCTTGAGGGCAGACACTAGGGCAGAGGCGCCCTCTGTCTACCTGTTATTCCCCCACTTCCCACATGAGCTGAGTACCTTAACCTAGGTCAGGTCCTATGACGTAAGAGGTGCTGATAGGCTGCAGATAGTAAGAGGCAGCCACTTGCTCGCGCGAACTGTTGATTGAGAGATGAGTAAATAAATGCTAATCCAGGAAGATACTTTGATCAGCAGGTATATATACGTTAGTCATAGAGAAGGCTCAGGAAACAAGTGATTCTGAATCTTTTGGAAGGTTGGGAACCTGTGGTCCTGTTTTAGAGCAGGGTCATGGAGAATGAAACTGTGTTTCTGTCTCATAGCACTTGCATAGCACTTGGCAAGTGTATATTGTGTGAGTTATAGGGAAGGATGATGCCAGTCAGGAAGGGAGTGGAGAAGTGAGCCTATTAGAAGATAATGGGAGTTAGGCATGGTGTCAAATGCTTGTAATTCCAGCATTTGGGAGGCTGAGGCAGGAGGAACACCATGCATGTTTGAGGTCATCCTGAGCTACATAGTGAAACTCTATCTCAAAAAGGAAAGAGAGAGAGAAGAAAAAGAAGATAATGAGGAGATGGACTATTAGAAAACTAACCCAGAAAAAGGCAACCTAGACTTACCTTCCATTGTGGGGTTAACTGGCCTCGTTCTAGGTCAGGTGAACGGTAGGTTCTCTCACCAGACATAGTCCCCTGAAAGCTGATATCAGCTAAGATCAGGAGAGCTTGATATTTTCATTTTCCAGGTGACTTTCATCCTTTCTCTTGTGGGAGGACCACTCTTGTCTGCCCTCCATCTCCTGTGGTTTCCTGTGCTCTGCTTCTCTCCAGAGGCACAAAGACATCCTGCTGGCTAGATAAGTGATTGCCTTCTGACCTTTGCTGAGAACTGGCAGAAGGCTTCACAAGGTGTGGCCCTTGAAGGCCCTTGGTGCAGAGCTGTGGGCCTGGAGCAGGCTGTGCTCTCTGTGAGTCATGCAGCTCTCAGCTCCTCCCAAGAGGTGAAAGCGGTTTCAGGACAGAAGTAGGGCGAGTCCCAGGGACCTTGTTTCACTAGGTTGAATGCGGAGCGTAGTAGAAGCAAAATGCCTCGCTACATGTACATTAACTGTTTTGTGCATGTAAGTTAGTAATCTTTGACTTAGTCCAAGATTTTAGGTTTTGTTTCCTTTCCTCAGAGTAAAGGTCTTCAAGCTTGTCATGATAGCTTTGAATGTGTGTTTTAAATGTCAGGACTGATGCATGTACCCACCCTGTAATTAAAGACGTGTTGAATTCATTCCCTTCTTATTCAATAAGAATGTTTTTTTTTTTTAACTGTGGGTTTTTGTTTGCCTGAGTTCCATACATTTAGGGGGATTTTTATGTTTGCTTCAATTGCTGCCATCCTCTTCCATAATTCCTCAGCAGAGATCTGGATTCTTTCAAGTCATTTTCCCCACTCTATGCTTTAAGCCCATTTTAGAGATTTTCCATTTCTCTGTATCCAGTGTGCATTCTTCAGCTGCCTGAAATCCATCAGTCCCAGTGTAGCCCCATTTCCTTTAATAAGGAAAATGCAGGATAAATTGGAGTTTTCTTGGAATGTTTTATTTTGTATCAATAATTTAATGGGAAAAAAGAACTACTCACAAGTTTATCATGATTTGTTTTCACTTTTTCTATCTGTGTCCCATGTCACATTTGAATATATATTTTTTTCCTTAGGTTGCATGCTTTAATTTTTTTCTCTCTTCTACTTGTGGGCATTGGAGAGCTGGGATTGTGTTTCACAGTTCTTTTGTCTCCATGAGATGCCATCACTGTTTCAGGAATATAACAAGAACTTTATCAATAGCTGATTAATATGTTTGGCGAATTTTCCTTTTCTTTCATTTTTAAATCTGTGGTCAGTGGTTATTTGTTTCCAGTTCTTTTGTGTCCTCTGGCATATATGTTCTAGTTTCCCATTTCTTTTTCTCTTTTTCTACTAAATCTTTTGCTTTTCAAATCAGTACTGACAATTATCTTTCTTGTTTGTGGGTATATTCCTTTAAACATTTGAAAATTCACTTTGTTGGCATTCAGGAAAGCTTCAGGGTTTTCTAAAACCTCTATTTTCCTACTAGTATTTCTGTATCTGACTTACCTAAATCAATCTTTGAAATGTAGTATTTGTGCAATAAATGCCTTTTAAAGATTGAATTCAGGGAAAAGATTGTTTCAGTCATTACCTGGGTAATTATGAAATTATGGATCCAGTTCTCTTTAAATCAGTCTTTTGTGAGCTAGTTTGTTTGGTCATCTCATCTTTACAGCGTGCTTTCCAGTGGGTATAGACCCTAGGACCTTGGTCACCCAGATCTCAAAAGATGATTATGTTTTTAATTGCAATCCTATAGGAAAAAAATAATAATTGTTTGTTGGAAAATTTATATGCTTATGTGAAATATGTGCTTTCTACAATATACTGAGGTCTGGAAAAGCAGCCCCTGGTCTAGTGGTTCACCAGCAGGTCTCGTGAGGCTCAGCTCATCCCTGCTGTGATTCAGTAGAGGAAAAGGATACAAGGCCAAGTCAAGAGGGAAGGGAAGAGGAGGGGATGGGATGGAGTCCAGATGGAGGCTTCCGGGGTTCCTTTGCTGGAGGGTCACAGCAGACATACTTCATTCTCTCAGCAGTGAGCCATGATAACAACTGAGAAATGTCAGAGACCTACCGCCTTGCACAGATCTAATTTCCAGAGTTCCCAAAGGAACATGAGCATTCTGTGTAAAGCACACCATGCAGTTTAGACACACATGTGAGCTGCTGTCATCAGTTCTGGTAATGGTAAGAAATATTCCCAGCCCAGATCTCCCACCTAACCAGGGCTCCACCTTGTAAGCAGCCTCTGGAAGGACAGCACATGCTGTGTCGCTTTCAGTCAAGGGGCTGGAGTCTTCTAATAACTTTTGTTATTGTTGTCTTGGTTACTTTTATCTCATTGCTGATACAAAATACCTGACATACAAAATTAAGGAAGGAAAGGTTTATTGAGCTCACAGTTTGTGGAGGTTTCAGTCCATAATCAGTTGGTTCCAAGGCAGGGTGGCACATGGCAGAGGGGCAGCAGTTCAGGGTGGCAGAAGGCAGCAAAGGCAGCAAGCAGAAAAAGTTGGGAAGAGCAAGCTTCTTTTCCTTCCTTTTATTAGGAGCAGGCTATGCCCCTCCGATGGGTTTGGCACTCACACCATCTGCATGCTGTCCTTAGACAGGCCTATAGTGTTTCCAAAGTAAGGACCTGGCCCCCTGCTGAATCACTTAATTGGGACCTTCTCAAATTGGCACAGTGAACAACATCCTAGAGCATCTTTGGCTGGTTCTGTACACCACCATGTAGAGCTTCTGAGTTACTTAGTTAAGATTCTAGACTTCCCAAGTTCACACAATGTAGCAACCATAACAGTTGTTGTGGTTTAGAGGGTCTTTTAGAGGGTCTGGGGGTATGGGCAGTTGATACTTCCTGTTTTTGCAAGAGGATCAGAGTAGCAGTATCGTGTTAGTAATAGTGCCTAGTGAATGAGCTCTTTTCTGTTCTAAAGAGCAAATGTTTTAAAACAGCAAATTCCCCACAGAAACCCTAAACCCTTCCCTAAAACAGTGGTGATGGTGCACTCAGATAATAGCAGGTACATTGACCCCTGACACCAATTCTACCTGAAGGTGAAGATGGTCACAGACAAGTGGACCAGATGTTGGGGGCCTGAGAGGGGCCAATGGGGTTGGTGGTTGCCAGATCCCACATCGCACTTCCTGTTCTTGAAGTCTTCTCTGGTTATTGTTTTCAAGAAGGCTCTGCTAATAAGTTGCCAGAAGAGGCAGTAATGGAAGCTCTAGCAGGTTTTCACCCTGGGAGTGAGGTAATCTCTTCACTGTGGATTTGTCTAGAACGGGCCAGTGGGTGAACTCTGCTGTCATAGACCAAAGAAAGCCATCCCAGTCATGTGGGGTTCAGCCACAAAGAGGTACTGGATATAGGTGAGGTAGGAGATCTTTGCAGTTCTCCATTTCATATGAATGACTTTTTGGTCATGAACTGGTCACTTGTTTACCCAGTAATTGTGAATTAATTTTTTTTTTTTTTTTTTTTGTACTGGGGATAGAACTCATGACCTTGCACTTACCAGGCAGGCCCTTATGCCACTGAGCTAAATCCCCATCCCCAGTTTTTTATTTCTTTGGCTTATTGTTTTTAGCAAAAACTCTTTGCATGGTGATTGCATATAAATTTAGCAATGAGCTAGACTAAACTATTTATTTCTCTTGGTGGATGAAAATACATACATATTTAAGAGAAGTTAAAAAAAAAAAAAACAGGAAACACCACAGTAATTCACGCAAGTTGTGGAGGGTTTCACAGAAGACCTGAAAAAGTGTGGATTCAACTGATTCTCCCTCCATTCCTCCCCTCCTGTACTGTATGCTATGCCCAAGCTATGGCAGAGGGCTTCCATCAGTAATGAGCCACTCTTAACAAAAAGCAAAGTTGCATGACTCTTGTCAGACAGTCAGAAAAAGTTTGATACAAGGAGATCAATAACCAGTAAGAAAGCACTATGAAGAAAACAAAGTGCAGTTATAGGTAGGCATTATAATGTTTTTAAAGAATTGTTTGATTTTCAGGTCATTGTCCTATATTGGTCAAGTACAGAAATGTCTGTGAATGCTGGTTCTGAATGTCCTTCTCCCCTTGTCTTTACAGCATACATAAAAGGTGGGTGGATCCTCAGGAAAGCCTGGAAGATTTACAATAAGTGCTACCTGGACATCAATGCCCTTCAGGAACTGTATCAGAAGAAGCTAACTGAAGAGCCCTTGACTTCTGATGCTGCAAATGATAATCACATTGTGGCTGAAGGGGTGACTGAGGAGTCCCTAAACAGACTGAAAGGTGCTGTGAGCTTTGGATATGGCCTTTTTCACCTTTGCATATCCATGGTGCCCCCAAACCTGCTCAAAATCATCAACCTGCTGGGTTTTCCTGGAGACCGCCTACAGGGGCTTTCTTCACTGATGTATGCAAGCGAAAGTAAGGACATGAAGGCCCCTTTAGCTACGTGAGTAGCTATATTGCAATGCTTTGGTAGATAATATAGTGTTGAAAGTAAGTCTTAATGCCCCATCCAGGAGCACGTGCCAGGCTGGTGGCGCTGGTGTGAGCTGCTGTAGTTAGACAACAAGGCACACTCCTCAGGGCTCGTGAGTCCTGTGTTGTGAACAGGTAAAGTGACCTTATCGTTTATCCTGCAGTGATTTTATAAGCAGTCTTTGTGGCTCTGATCACAGTCACTGAGATGCATGATCATGGTTTGAATTTATCACATATCAATTTGGTTGAGCCTTTTTTGTGGGTCAGAAATTTTTGTTCTTACAGAGAACCCTCATATTGGATAATTGGCCTTATGTTTGTAGTTGGTCAGTTGATCTGTTAACATGTGGCTTGGGTGTTTGGTGCCGTTCTCTACTGGGTCATGTTGCACTGCTCGGTGAAAATTTAAATGGCAGTTATTTAAATAGGTGAGTGGAGGGGCACTGGTGTGACTGTGTGGAGGTGAAACGATGTCGTGTTAAAAATCTGATCTGGCAAAGAACTACCATTTGGGATTTGAGCAGCTTCATCAGCCACTGGGTGTTCTTTGTCTGATGTGACACCGCTTGTCAAAATTTCCTAAAAAACTGTCGATATTGGAGAGAACCTTGATGAGACTTATTCCCACTCATGTCACTACTGAGAAGTTAGGATGTTAACTCTTAATTGGTTGTGATTTAAAAACCTTAAACTTTTCATTTGAAAAATGTTTGTGTCCTTCTAAACTCATTATAGTGGTATGTTATTCTTTGTATTAACAGATTTATAACTGGTGATCATTCCTCTGTTTATTTTATTATGTCATGCTTATCTGTGAGAAAGCAATGAATAGAATTAATGTTAGTATGGTCACTCTAAGTGAATTGAATTTATGGGCAGATTAGATGCATATATTTACATGAAAATATTTGACCTGGTTGAATGTGTTTATCTGTTCTTTAAAGCAGATTATAGTGACTTTGTTCTGTTTACCTAAGTGTATCAACATTTATTCTTCAGTGAGTTTTAACTAGAAAGGATCTTTAATCTGTTCCTCTCACTTATTTTAACTTAATGTAATATAACTTATGTCTGTGGGTTCTATATTTAAATTTATATTCTGAGACTTTCTTAACTTTTGTAAGCGTAAGAGAAGGTTATCTTTTTCTCTTGCCAAAAGTGAAACCTTTTATTCTGCAGGGCAGCAAGTCCACAGTGACTGTGCGTTGATTTGATTCCGAAAGGGTTCAATCCTGAGATCCCCATCAGTTTGTCTGCAGCCATTTATTTCCAGGCAGCCACAAAGCTGAATGCTTCTGCTGCCTGTTCTCATCTGATGGGACTGAGCTGATGTATATGGTGTGCTAAAGCAGCAGTTTCCCAAATACTGACAGAATTCATACGGGAAACAGACTCTGATTTCACTTCTCTGAAGGCTGCGTAGTAAGCTTTTCGGGAGGGGGGTGTATGGGAGAGAGAGCCTGGCAGGATGTTTTTGAAAATGAGAGGAACCTCAGCACACCGTGCTCACACTCTCTCCCCCTCCACAGACTGGCACTCCTCTGGTATCACACAGTCGTCCGCCCATTTTTCGCTTTGGATGGCAGCGATAACAAAGCAGGCCTGGATGAAGCTAAGGAGATTCTCCTCAAAAAAGAAGCTGCTTATCCAAATTCTTCCCTCTTTATGTTTTTCAAGGGACGGATCCAGCGATTAGAGGTACAGTGCCTTCCTCATCTTTTTAAAACAGCGCCCCTGAGGATCACATCCCTGAGTGCTGCTGAGTGCAGGGTGGCTGAGCCAGGCTGTCCCGGGCCCAGGAACATGGTGTTCTTGTGCCTTTCATTGCGTCACTCTGAGGAAGGCTCTTCCAGGAAGCTGGGGTGTTAGTCAGTTACCTTCTGTGCAGGCCCATGGGTGAAGCAGAGATGAGGCCTCACTGGTATGAGACATGATTGGGGTGCTTGAAGCTAATGGCATGTGCATCATTAAACCACTTAGGTGGAGAACACAAAATATAATTTTCTCCTTTCTGGGTTACTGATAACCTGCTTCTAAAATTTGATCTTAGGTAACAATTGATTTGGATTAATGTCACTGCCTTAAATGTCAACAGCTTTGCGATAACAGTCGAGCTGTCGTTTTCAAGTGCTTCATTTGGCTCGGTGCTATGCCAGGAGCTTTCCACACACGGGCCCAGTTGCTTTGCACAGCAGCTCTGAGCATAAATAAAGCATGAGCTGCAGGTTACGTAAAAGACACAGGGTACCAGGAGGAGTCCCTAATTTCTGAGCTTTCCCAGCAACGAGCCCAGGAGCCCGTCTGCAACACCAGAACTTGGCCTGGCCTCTGGAGGCTTCCGCTTCCCCTGTCCTTGCTTGCTGACGCCCATGAGAAAAGTTGAGAGAACAGCTTCTTCATATATAGGAAGAAGGTGGCCCTTATGCTTTATTTTCCTCCTGTTCTTTGTTTCTCAATTACTTTCAAAGTTGAGAAACAAAGTCTAGGGCTGAGGAGGGGGCTCAGCCATAGAGCGTTTGCCTCACGTGCACAAGGCCCTGAGTTCAATCCCACATAGCACAGAAAAGGGTCTAAAAATAATTCTTACTACTTGCTTATGTATATCGACTTCCTCCACTTCTTCTAGGAACTTTTCTTCTGGTGCTCATTTCACTATCTCCTTACCATCCTAAAAATATACAACTAAACCCTTCCATTTATGCATGATTTTATATGTACAACTTGCAAAGCACTGGGGATAAAGCAATGAATATAAAAACTCTTCACTTTAAGCAATTTAAGAAATGTAGGCAGGCAAATATATATTAAACAGATTCCATTGATACACTCTTTTAAATATAATGATAAGTATATTCAAAAGGAAGAGATAGCACTGATGAAAACCATTCTTAAACTCGTGTCATAGCACCCATTTCTTATACCTAATTATCAGTGAATCCATTTGAGTTTTTAGGATCATCTGTTCTTGGGCTGACCTGGTGCTCTGCCAGAACTCAGCGGCCGCGATCTCCAGGAGCACGTTTGCAGATGTTATTCATTTATTCATTTATTCATTTATTTTGCTGGAGTGGTTTTTTTCATGAGCACATTCACTGTTCTCCTTCCTTTTTTCTTTTCTCATTCCTTCCTTCCTCCCTTCTTCCCTTCCCTTCTTCTTCCTTCTTTTCCCTTTCTTCTTTAAGGCAGCTATCTAGTCCTTACTTTTTTTCTACTATGAAGTGACTCCTTAAATCTGAAGAGCACTTTTCTAATTTTAATTCTCTAAGCCCACCGTATATACATGTTTATATGAAAACATATTTAAGCAACCATGGTAATAGTTGATCACTGAAACTGTATAGAAAGCTGACCAAGATTTGAACTATTTAAACCCATATCGGTTATTTTTCCTCCCATTATCTTGAAATTGTTTTTCTTTGGATTCTAGCTCACGAGCTTTTGGTTTTATTTCTTCATTTATTTATTTATTTATTTATTTTTTCTCTTCCTCCTGCAAAGCATGGTTCTCCTCCACCTCTTGCACAGTCAGGGAAGATTAGTTTTCTTTCAAGATGAGATTGTGGTCCTACTTGCAGGCAAAGATACCCAGAGTGTTCCTATTACTTTGGGTTTAGATTTGGGCGCTGTTCCCAAGATACTTCACTGTATATGTGCATGGAGATAGATAGATAGATAGATAGATAGATAGATAGATAGATAGATAGATAGATCCATATATATATCTATATAGATATCTCCACACACAAATACTCCCAAATCCAAAACTCAAAGCACTTCTGGTCTGAGGCCTTCGGGTAAGGAATACTCAGCCTGTTCTAGATTCAGTGTTTAATGGAGATTTGTCCAATAGGGGTGAAGACCTAAAATTTAAAATAGTGTGTAACACAGCAGGGTTACAGCACCGGCTGTTCGTTAGAATTTTCTCTTCTTTCCACTGATGAGTGAATGCTCTTACAGTGTTTTCAAGTTGTTCGACAGAAAAGTAAAAGTCAGGATTTATATTGTGTTATGCTTGCCACTAAGTTAGCTTTTTCATTTTAAAATGAAAATGCTTGGTTTTTATTTCAACTTTTATCCTACAAAGATTTTTATTTTGGCCCTGCCCCCAAAAAACACCTTAATTTGACATCATGGTTTTAGTTTGTGCCTAAATCCAAGTGGGCATTCACTGTTGTTGGGATGGTTCTAGAATAAGGAACTTGCAATACCTCAAAGGATTCTTCTAAAAAGACAGTTTTTAGAGGTGCATAGTTCTTGTTGTGCCTCTTAAGTTTTGTTTGTTTGGCAGTACTGGGGAACCCATGACCTCTGTGCTGAGCACCCCCCACCCTTTTCATTTTGAGACACGTCTTGCTAAATTGGTGAGTTGCTGGGGCTTATGGTCCTCCTGCCTTCTGCCTACCAGAGTACTGTGATTACAGATGTGCACCCCCTTACCCAGCTTCCTTTTCTTTTACAGAGTACACACTAGCTGTTGGGACTTCTTAGCAGTGAGTAGCTTGCTTGCTTAAGTGGTGTTTGTTTTGAAGGGAAAGGACCCGAGATCTATCACTGTTCTTGTTTAGTAGCCGTAGGGCTGAGCAAAATGTGTTTATATTTAGCTCTTCCCAGAGGATGAGACAATCTTAGAGCTTTCTTGAAGTATGACTGCTGTTGTCCGAAGGTGCTCAGACACCAGCATTTCATTACTGTTCCCAAGCAAGCGTCTAAGAAGTTATCGGAGGAGAGCATCCTTCTTTTGCAGTTCAGGGCCTCTGTCTGGGGAGGCTGAGGTGTGGCTTTTTGTGACACTTATGAAGCCCCACCTCTTTGCGAAAATGTTAGTGAACTTGCTTGCAAAAACTCCTTTTCCTCGTCATTGAGCATTTTGGTGAGTGACAGGGCCCCTGAGAGCTTTCCATCCATCAACACATAGAGAATATGTGACAGTTTCTTCAGTGACTCAGAAACTGCCAGACTTTTTTTTTTAACTGACATCTTTTTAAAAAAAGCTTGCCACTTTGAATTTTGTGCTAGTCCATTTTTGCAGTATGCTATAATTGCATTCTTTGTGGGGAGCTGGTCCATGGGGAAACCAAACGTTTCCGACAGCAGCCTTGGTGTCAGCGCGCGCTCCTTGAGAGTGGCTTGTTCACTGCGCCACCCCAACTTCCACTTTTCTGTGCTCATCGTTTGTGAATCCTGTGCGCGCACCACTTCACTTCTGCTTAGCCTGCCCTTCATCATATGGGACCAAGCGGGCCATGTGGGAGCATGGTTTCTACAGCAGATCTGCCCCTCTGCTCTAACCCGCATGAGCCTGGTTGTAGTGGAGTCACCATTCTTTGTTGCTGTGGTCTCCTCTGAAGTGGCTGTCAAGTGCCGCATCTCAGCTGCTGCTAGCAGGAAGAATTCTGTCACCACCTCCCCTTGTCTCCATGGAATCCTGCAGTGCCCCTCCTCCAGCCTCCACCGACCAATGGTGGTATCCTTTCTCCTCTCTTGCCCTAAGCCCTGGCCCTTCCCCTGGCTCTTACCAGTGACTGTTATCAGCATGTGGTGACCACTATCCAGTGATGGTGTGATAATGTTTGTGCATTTTAGTGAGTGCTTAAACCTGAGAAGTAGGATATCAATTTTTTCTTTTTTTTTTTTCTTTTGGTATTGGGAATCGAATTCAGGACCTTGCACTTGCCAGGCAGGTACCTATGCTGCTGAGCTGTATCCCTGGCAGTATTTCCTTCATTTTTGGAAAAAAGAATTTGTTGTAACTATTGAGATCTGGCAATAAAGCTAGGCCTGTGATTGGCAAAGTGAGTATGTGATTAGCTGTTGGGGTTAATGGTATCATAGACATATTCACTCTTCCCTGAATTTCCATAATGCAGACTACTCGTGGGTATTTGGTGCATGAATTGTATTCTTAATTTTTTAGTGTGGATAGGTAGTAGTTTTAGTTTTTACATTTTTATTTATTTAAACCTAGAGTAGTGTTAAGTTTATTCAGATACAATTGATTAATGAGCCTTTTTTAAGCTTTGGAGACAGTTTATATTTTAATAAATTTTTTATTTCTCTCTGGTTCCATTTTCTTTAAGCAGTACATATTTATAAAATTTTTCTTCTCTTTGGCTTTACCAATCTACTTTGCACTAATGAACTTGTGAAGTGTGATTTTAGAAAAAGTGAATGACTTAAAATATGTGTTACAGTAAAAGACACGTTGCCATGAATCCATCTTAAAAATATCAAAGTACTCCCCCCTGCCTTGAGCACGCTCGTCCCCTGTTCTTGCCGCTTACGGAAGCAGTTCTGAAAGGCCGCTGCTGTGAGGGTCTTTTAGTTACACTGTCGTGGCTGCCTCGGTGTCCTGAGTCAACCTACAACATTTACCTTTTACAGCCATTTTGACTTTAGGGAAGAGCCAGAAGTCACACAGTGTCCAGTCTGGTGAATCAGGTGGGTGAGGGCACACTGCAGTGTCCCTACGAGGCCGCCTGTCCATTGGACGGCACATGGTAGCATCGGTCACTGTAACTACGATCACACTTTATGAAGACACAAAAGAGGACTTCCAGAGCTGCTTCAGACGTGGCAAAAATTAAAGGGCAAGTGTGTTCAAAACAAGCGGGACTACTTTGGAGGGATTTAATGGCAGTATGTCTTTTGCTGTAGTAACTTTAAAATTTAAATATTTACCATAGATTTTGATCACCCAT